GGCTGCCTGCCTCTTATAGGAATGGTCCATTAATGAGCCTTGACAGCTTAACTGTCTCGGATCTTGCAGTAGCCACCCCATCGGAAAGGTGTGGACATCTTGCGGCTAATGTGAGTAAAGATTGCAGAGCCACAGACACCACACTCCCAGACTTGAAACATCGGGAAAAGTTGGGAATAAGAGTGCTGAAAGCAAAAGTCCCAGCTGAATTTGAAAGGGGAAAAAGCTTTTCCTACTACTGCACCAGCCAAGATAACCTGAGTGCTAGAACTGCTTAGAGAGTGCAGCTCCATGCTTCAAGAAGAGACACCATCTGTTGGCGGTCTGGGTCTGTGCGGCTCACCCACAAAGGGGCACTCCGGTCAGTGCAAAAGACAATCGGGCAACTGCAGCCTATCCAATGTTTCTGGGCTGAAACGACACTGCCCTCTTCATCAAGAGCATTGGCGTGCACGGGGACGTGTTTTGGAAAAGGCAGCCATACTACGGAAAGCATACAATGTTGCACCAACATGAGTAAAAATTCAAGATGGGGGAAAGGATTCCAAGATCTAAATTTTTTAAATAGAATTCGATTTTAACATGTTCCAAATTGTAATATAGTACATTCTGTGGGACGTGGTTGTCCGTGAATGTTCCCTTAGAACCACCTTCAACCCTCGCTTTGTTTGTGTCCGTTTGGTTTGAATGAATGATTGACATGTTTCCAATTTTTATGACACTATTATGTACTCCTTGTATTGTACACTTTCTAGTACTCTCATCACACTGCAGAAGTGTACAGTATCCTGTACGATTTTTTGGTCCAAACACAACATTCATGCTTTGTTTCACTTTACTCATACAGATTAGCACTAGAAAACAGATTTTACCATTTAAGTGGAGGCCCAACTGGCCCACACTAGCTCATTCCATTACGTAGTATCTTGGGTAAAAACTATTCAGGTGTGAAAAAAAACACAAAAATTTGGCAACTGCAGATTTGTGTAAGCTGTGTCAAATTCTCTACCTATGAAGACACCACCTGAAGTGCACCAGACGTGTTGATTATTCAGTTTCCTCACCTACCTATTTTTTTCCATAAATCATCAGAACTTTCTGTGGTGCCTCAGTGAAACATATGGGGTACACGTACATAGCATTGCAATTTCTTTAGCGATGCAATGACAAATTTTTTTTAATTTCGAGGTTTATTTTATACTAGGAAGTTTAACCAAATGAGAAACATAATGAACAACCATGCACTTGCATACAAGTACCAAACACAGTACTGTACAAACTTGATACACCTCCATATTTTGTGTAAATAAAAATTTGTTTCACGTGGAACACTGTTCACTGCAAAAAAACCTGTCAATAAGTGCAGTTCAAGCGTGCCTAACGACACCTTCCCTAGTTAAACTGGACTTTCCCTTTAGCGCAGCTCGTCCTCTCTTAAAACAACATAGTCATGCCCTACAATGACCGATAGCCCATAAGTGCAATAACGACAGATATCTTTGCAATTTCAAGATATGTTTATGTAACGTAGAAACTTGAGATATTGAAATAAAGAATAACTAACCAATACTTCGTCTCATCCTAACATCAACTAGCCTGTGAGGTTACAAGCGCGAGCTCCTTGCATTGAATCATACTACCTCGGCTGCACGAGCGCACGTTCACCGGGAGTACCACAGCTACTCGTTCACGATTGTAGGCTTTGCAGTTAGTCCATCTCAGGATGAAAAGAAGTGTAGAAGAAAGTACATTCAAGTCGACACACTTGCGAGAGCAGCTGCTTAACCACACAACACAGATATAATAAATAATGTACAATGACACAAATCTCAATTGACTCCTGAGTGCAATGTGTTGCCTCTGCTACACTGTACTTGTACCACTTGTACGCCAAGAGGGGCGGTTACTGTGCAGCGCCAAAGAAAATGTGTTTCTGGAGCAATTTCTTGATTTTGTATGCGTCAACAAATATATACATTGTTAATGACTTCAATATAGACCTGTCCACTGTATCTGCTTCGCAAACTCTATTTACCTCTATTCTCGAATCAAATGGTTTTAACAATTTAATCGAATGTCTAACATTTGACCTCTTCATAACAAATAATGATAATGAACATGGGTATTCTGGCGTAATACTCAGTGATGTCAGCGACCCTTTCACCATTTTTTTTTTCATTTATTAGAAAATTTCGCAGTAAAACATCAATACCACTACAGGAACCAATATTTGCTCAACAAATGAATGCCCAAAGATTGGACGTTTTTTAATGCTATAGGTAATACTGACTGGAGCTTAGTATACATAAAGAAACAGCAGATGAAGCTCATAACATTTTCTTGTCTTCTTTAACTAGGATTCATGAAAATTGTTTTTCATATAACAAATAGAGAAAAGCAAAAAGTCGAGAACGCCATGGGCCACACCTGAACCAGTTCGTAAAATAAACATACCGTAAAAAAAATCTTTTTAAAAAATTTATTAAAAACAGGGATCCAAGTCAATTATGTGATTATAAATCTTTCCGTAACAAACTGAATTCCGTACTGAAACATGCTAAATTGAATTACTACAGTTGAACCTCGATGTAACGAAGTCGGTAAAATTCGCAATTTACTTCGTTACATTGAAATTTCGTTAAATCGAAATTTGGCTTTAGCATGCGAAAAAAAATTCCGAAACATTTTACGGGTATGAAAACTCACCGAAAATGACATTTATTTAGGGGCGAAGTAGTCCGCGAGTTTTGCTTGCGCCTTGTCCGACAGTAGCAGCGGCGTCATACGGCGTTCGAGCGCCCAGAGCGCTTGCACGGCATCCTGCTGCCCATGCGACGCCGTGTACCTCCTCAGTACGTCCATTGCGTCGAGCACTTCCCGAGTGCTCGTGATCTCGGCAGTTTCTTCAGGATGGCGTCCAAAACGTTTGCTTTCTCATCCAAAGAAAGAACTTTACGTTTCCTTATGGCAGCAAGCACGTAAGTGAACCGCCCGGTTAAAAAATAAAGCTGTTTAGTTTAGGCAGTTTAGGCGGTGCCAATGTTTCCAACCTACACAGCACTCTTCACCGCACAGTTTACTTGCCCCCTTGCCACCCTTGCCCCCACAGTGATGCTTGCGCCGCTTGCGCCCACGCTCGCAAGACGATAATCGGTCTTTTCGGTCTTCTCCTAGATGGCACTGCCCGTGCGGTCGCGCCATCACGTCGCTCCCCCGCTGAAGTTGGCTCCCGCGCTACCCGCGGTGCAGTGGAGTGGACTATGGTTATCAGTGAATGTCAGTGGTGATGCTGGTATGCCGTGTTAACTTTTTGCTCGGCATTTTCTGGCCAGCCTCGCGGAATCCGCTTTGCCGCATGCCTCGCCGGCGCTACCGGCGCCGCATCCTCGGGCAGCCTAGGAACGTTGGAAGGCCTGTCCCCGTGAAGTAACCTATCAAGCGCTCGCGTTTGCGCATAATTTTTTTTTTTTAACCACAATTTTTTTGCGAAGTTGTTTTTTAGAGTTGATTTATTTATTGCCTTCTATGGCAATGGCACTTCGTTATAGACTTAGACTTCGTTATATAGAGACTAAAAATACATGGTGTCTATGGGCAAGAAATTATGAAAAATAAAATACTTCGTTAAATCGAAGATTTCGTTACATTGAAGTTCGTTATATCGAGGTTCGACTGTATAACAATCTGTTCAATAATACCGTAAGACAAAAGGGAGATATTTTATGGAAACTCAAATTTTATAAAACCAGTTGAAAAATGTTCTCGTTATAATGTTGAACTAGATGGAAGCAAACTGCCCGACTTACAGGTTGCTACCACTTTTAATGATTACTTCGTAAATTTGGTACAACCAGCAAATTATAGCATAGATCCGTCGGTAACATCGCGATATGTTCCTAATGAATCTACGTTTTTTCCTACTACAATAAGTGAAGTGATTAGCATGTTCCTAAATCTTAAAAACTGCTGATCCCAGAACATAAGTGGATTGCAAATTAAACCCATCAAATATGCCATTGATATATTTGCTCCTCCTGTCACGTACATTTTTAACCTCGTTTTAACAACCAGTGTTTTTCCAAAAGTGCAAAAGGCAGAAGTAACGGAGCTGCACAAAGGTGGTGACAAAAACAACCTCACTAACTATAGGTCGATATCAATTTTACCGATACTGTCTAAGGGTCTTGAGAAAATAATTCATTCAAGACTAACCAACTTGCTTAGCCCTTAAAAGCCCAAAGGGAATATGCTTCCCACTTCGAAAAAGGCGCCATAAACAACTGATGCAAATTTTTTATTTTTTCTGTATTGTGGCGCCATCTAGCCACATGCCTAACAAACTACACAAAATTATTTTGAAGGTTTTCGGTGCATCCACTAGGCGGCGAGAATGGTTTTTTCCCGGCAAGGTGGCATGGCTTCGGCTCTTTGTGCTCGTACAATTTGCCGAAGAAACTTTAGCCTGAGGACGGCAAAAAACAACTTCTAAAGGTGCATATATTTAATTAATGTCTCTACGGCATCTCGTGCATCGATTTTAACCACTTATAAGCATGTTCATTGCGTTCATTAGATGCTGTAATGGTTTTTCCCGACCATAGGTGGTGGGAATATATTTCCCTATGGGCCTTTAGCAGAACATTATACCTGCGCTTGTTTCTCCACAGATGTCGAAGTTCTTGTCAGTGGACGAGGCACTGGATGTCTTTTTCTCCCTGCCTGATGACCCAAACCAGTCAAGTGACAGCGAGGAAGAAGAAGACGGCGACGATGTTCCGTCGGGTGCGGTAACCCGTTCGGAAGTCCAGCCGAGTAGCACAGCGTCACAAGGAGCAGCACAGGTGAGTGCGTATGATGTGCACTCAAGTGATGACGCCAGTGATGATGAAGAGACTGCAAGTGAGTGGACAATACGTTCGCTTCCCCACCGAAGCAACATTCCCGATTATTGCTGCCAAACACCTGCAACTCCTAAGCTTCTTCCAACGCACACGCCAATAATGATCTTTGATGCCCTGTTCGGAGGTGCTTTGACCATACTCGTTGAGCAAACGAACATATACGCCAAAGAAACCAAAAAGAAAGCTTGGCAGGATACCGCAGCTGAAGAAATGAAAGGATTCCTAGATATTCTCATCAGAATGGGCATTCTTCAACTTCAAAACAGACGGGACTACTGGTCCACGGACAGCGACCTCGGAGTGGCATCAGTTAGCCCAGTGATGCCAAGAGCACGACTTTTTCAGCTTCTTCGATCACTGCATGCCAACGACAACAAGACAGCGACTAGAAAAGGAGACGTCGGCCATGTCCCTTTGCACAAACTTCGACCTCTTATCACAGAGCTCTCCGAAACATTCAGAGCTAGCTACCAGCCATCTGCATACCACTCAATTGATGAGAGTATGATTCTGTTCAAAGGAAGGAAGTCATTCAAACAGTACATGCCCATGAAGCCTATCAAATGTGGGTTCAAAGTATGGGTGCTTGCTGATGCTACAACTGGCTTTATTAACCAGTTCGAAGTCTACACGGGCAAAGAGGGCGATGGCGGTGGGCTCGGCTACAGGGTAATCCAGAAATTCACTGAGGAACTTGTCGGGACGGAGTGTCTGGTAGTGTTCGACAACTTTTTTAGTTCACCCGAACTCATGCAGGACCTGTTTGACCACGGGATATATGCCGTGGGAACTGTCCGTGCACAAAGAAAAGGTCTTCCTGATGTTGTGAAGAACAAAAAGAAAATCAATGAAGGCGACCACAACTACAAGGTGAAGGGAAATGTTGCTGCGATCCAGTGGCAAGACAAGCGGCTAGCCAACGTAGTAACAACAGACCACGATCCTTCAGAGACGGTAACAGTGGAAAAGAAAAATAAGGACGGGTCAAAGAGAAGCATCAAGTGTCCACTAGCAATTGTGCAGTACACGAAGCACATGCGGGGAGTAGACCGCTTTGATCAGCTGCGAGAGTATCACACCGTTACTCGTAAGTCAAGAAAATGGTGGATGCGAATCTTCTACTTTCTTCTGGACTGTGCTCTTGTGAATAACTTCATCCTTTACCAGCTGTCAGAGGGGGAGGCGAACCACCAGAGTTTTCTCCTAATACTTGCACGCCAGTTGGCCAACGGCTATAATGGAAGGAAAAGGTCAGCCACGACCGCTTTTCGACGCGTCTTGCAGCAAGCAAGTACCAACAAAAACCTTGGCGTGCCAGATGAGGTGCACCTGTCCAACGGGCCACATTACCCACAGGGCAAAGCAGCCTACAAGAGGTGTAGGTACTGCTCCACGGCCAAAAATGACAAAAGATCAAAGATCACATGCACAACTTGCAAAGTACACCTTTGTGTGGTGCCCTGTTTTGCCAAGTGTCACCAAGAGTATGTGTGGCACTGAAGGCCCAGAGGGAAGAATATTCCCATGCCCTAATTAATGGCTTTCAATTAGTATTTTCATACCTTTTATTATTTGTGCTTGTGCAGCAATAAACATTATTTCTAGCGAGTTTCATGTTCCTATCACTGATAGAAACATTATGGGCTTTTAAGAGTTAACAAACATAATATTCTAACTCACAATTTGGTTTTCGTAAACACAGGTCGACAGAAACCACACTATTAACACAAAAAGAATGAATTGTTGAAGCATTTAAGAGGAAAGAACTCATACCTGGAATATTTATTGACCTTAATAAGGTGTTTGACGACATAAATCATGATATACTAAACCTTAAGCTTCACGCTTATGGTATTAGAGGAAGCGCAGCATTATTAATTCAATCTTATTTATAGCCTCGGTCTCAATCTGTTTGTATAAACTTTTCTTTTTCTCCACTTGACACTATTACAACAGGTGTGACCCAGGCCAGCACATTAGGCCCTCTTCTCTTCATGCTTTACATTGACATTATCAACATAATGACATCAGCAAAAATAATAGCCTATGCCGATGATATGACTTCTTTTTACTGGTACTGACCCGACTGATATAGCTTCAGAAGCAAATAGCTCTTTTAGAAATTTGCAAAGATACATCATTGCAAATTGTCTGCAAATAAACCCTTATAAAACTAGAGCGATTTTCTATAGACCCAGAAACAAATTAACTTGTAGGCCAACATATCTTCATTTAGACAACCAGAAAATAGAAGTTGTAAGTGAAATGAAATCCTTGGGTGTTCATTTTACAGAACACCTCACATGGGACTATCATACCATTAATCACATCCGTACAAAGCCGAATGGCTGGTAAATAAATGGGCTGGTAAATAATGCCGAATGCCGAACAAAGCCGAATGGCTGGTAAAAAATGGGCTGGTAAATAAACATAGATACAGCCTACCATGCAATATTAAGAAAATGTTATACAATGGCTCATTTTGTTCCTCACCTAACATATTCTAATCTCCATATGAGGTACAACTAATAAACATAACACACATATCCTCCTTCGTGCACAGAAAAAGTCAATTAGAATAATAGCAAATCTCGCATAGAATGAGAGCACTGCTAATTATTTGCAGCAGTTAAACATCCTAAATATATCTTTCCTTTACAAACTAAGACTCACGTGCCTTTACAGATCTGCCCTACTCGCAAATAACACCTTCATAATTGAATTTTTTAATCTAAACAAGCATCTCACAAGCCATAATACACGACATGCAGAACCATGGTTTGTGCCGACATCTCAAACAACATATGGACATGAATCAAAAAGGCACAATCTAGCTTACTTACTAAACAAATTGATTCAATATCACGTCATACTTGAGGTTGTCACCAAGCCCCACGTGATATCCCTGTTTATGACGCTCACTGACACTCACTAACAAAATCTCACGTCTTTTGTTGACTACTGCTCCAATTTTATTGTATGTGTGTAGTTTTGTATTTGTTATTTCATTTGGTTTGTAAATGAGTGATTAGGAAACATTGTCATCACTGCTCTCTCTGCCGTTTCAATCGGGGCAGGGACCTCGTCAAGTAGCTGAATGCAGCTTTTTGTCCTTGCCCCTCCGCTCCCTGGAGAGGAAATAAAAAGTATTATATATTTTTTCAATACTCTTATGTGCATGTGTTTATTTTTAGGTTTAGAGTGGCTATGCTATGCTATGCTTGACTTTTTAACTGCAGGGTGGCATCACACAAGCACCTTATTTGCTTTGATGTGCCCGTTTTCTTAAAGAGAGCCGATGTCTGTGGTAATGAATTTATTAGTAGTTGTTGCGGCCGGAAGCGGGAACCCTGGCCAGAGCCGCCAGCCTTCTTCCGGCAAAGCAACAACAATCGTCGAGCGCAACGCCATCACGCCGACTAGGGTCGGACGTCAGTAACCTGTACTCTAACAATGCATTCACGTTTCTCGTCACCTATAAAGAACCCGAGTTACAAAACGTTGTGTTTCCTGACGCGCTAACAATGACGACGAGGATGGGATAAGGAGAGGACAACCGAACGCCAGTACATGAACGTTAAGTGGTGTTAGTCGGTGTGACGGTGGGGCCCGGGAACAAAGGAGAAGCGGTGGCCGCCATGGCGCAAGCTCAAGCCCTCTACGCCGCGCCGATCCAGTATGACCCGGCGGTGGAGAATCGGACAAACTACGTGGAGCGACTGGAGGCATACTTTGACGCCAGCAGGGTGAGGGACGACGGTAGGAAACGTTCGATCCTAATATCCGCTTTTAGCCCGGAAGTTATGCATGACTGCGAAGCTTGGTGGCGCCAAACAAACCGCGAGACGAAACCTTCGACACGATCATGAAAGCGCTTACGCAGCACCTCAGTCCGGAACCGTCCGAGATCTATGAGACGTTCAGGTTCCAGTCACTAAAGCAAAATGAGGGGGAAAGCGTCGCGGACTACCTGGCCGAATTACGGAGAATCGCAGACCACTGCGGTTTTGGGGACGCTCTAGACAACAACCTAAGGGACCGATTTGTCATCGGACGGTGCGAGAAGACGGTGCAGAGGATCCTCCTGGCGAAACCAAAGAAACTTACGCTCAAAGAGGCGCTGGACACAGTGTTGGCGGCGGAGTTAGCAATGCGGAACGCCGACCGGCTTCCTGGCTCAAGTTCGCTACCCACTACTGCGGGGGACGTGAATGCCTTGCGGTTTAAGAAGCACAAGGGACGTCAGCAGGAAACGTCTCGGACGAAGACTGCGCAGCCCTGCATTCGTTGCGGAGACAGCTCTCATGACCAGCCAAACTGTCCACACAAGAAAACGACGTGCTTCACGTGTAACAAGCAGGGAGATTTGGCGAGCCGGTGCTTTCGCACTCAGTCGACACCGGCGGTCAACCGAAAGAAGCAGCAGGCCAACCTGCTCACGGAAGAAGCACAGCTAGGACAGGCAGAGGAGGCTTTCCACTTGTTCACAGTGCACACTCCAAAAGCTACGGTTGATTCAGTCAACGAAGTGCTCCAGTGGGGAACAGTAGAAGTGACCATGCAGGTTGACACTGGCTCCCCCGTGTGCATGATTTCTAGGGACACATACTCCAAGAATGATAATGTCTGGCCACCCCTACAGGAAACTACCAAGGAGCTCCACTGCTACCTGGGGAAACTACCAGTGCTGGGAGTCCTGGCGATGCCAGTAAGGCATGGAAACAAACAAGTGCAAGGACAACTGTACATTGTGGATTGTACGGGTCTATCCTTCTGTGGTCGAGACGTCATCTAAGCATTGAACCTCCTGGAAGAGCATCTAATTGGGAGCATGCAAACAAGTGACAACCAAGTGCAGGACACGGTCAAGAAGCTGAAAGAAGACTTCAAGGATCTCTTCTAGCCGGGGACGGGGTTGATGAAGGGACCTGTGGCCTACGTCAACTTAAAGAAAGAGGTAAACCCCAAGTTCTGCAAGGCCTGGTCTCTTCCCTATGCCCTACGTGACAGGGTAGGAGAAGAACTGGCCTGAATGTGCAAAGAGGGGATATTGTCTCTGGTATTCCACAGTGAGTGGGCAACGCCAGTAGTGCCAGCGACCAAGGCCAATGGAGGTCTCAGGATCTGTGGGGACTTTAAAGTAACCCTGAACATGGCATGCGACATCGAACAATACCCACTTCCCAAAGTGGAGGACATCTTTGCACCTCTGAAGGATGGCCATTGGTTCTCGAAATTGGATCTTCGGGAAGCCTACTGCCACGTGGCCTTAGATGAAAAATCCAGACAGGCAGCAGTGCTCAACACCCACAAGGGTCTCTTCTGCTACAACAGGCTGCCATACAGCATCGCTTCAGCACCAGCGATCTTCAAAAGGAAAATGGAGGCGTTGTTGAAGGACATTCTGGGAACGCAGGTTTTCTTGGATGATGTCTTGGTGGCAGAAGGCAAAGACGAATTTGGGCAGACGCTGCGGAAGGTTCTGCAGAGATTCAGGAAAAATGGCATCCGACTGCGGGAAGAAAAATGTGTGTTTGGTGAAGGTTACCTACCTCGGACATAGGATCGACCGACGTGGGCTGCATCCATCAGAAAAGAAAGTGGACGCCATCGTGAAGGCTCCTGCACCTCGCAACCTCCAAGAAATTCTGTCCTTTTTAGGACTCATCACATACTAAAGGAGTTTCCTGCCTAGGATGTCTACACTTCTGGCTCCGCTCCACAACCTGCTGAGGAGTGAGGTGAAATGGAAATGGGAAACAGAAGAACAGGCTGCATTCGACGGGGCGAAAACAACCTTGCAGAAGTCCAACCTTCTTGTGCACTATGACCCAAATAGGGAACTCATTTTGGAGTGTGATGAGTCACCAGAAGGCCTAGGAGCAGTGCTGTCTCACTGCGTGAATGGCATCGACAGGCCTATCGCCTTCCAGTCAGGATCCCTTACCAAGGCTGAGAAGAACTATTAGCAGCTGGAGAAGGAAGCGCTTGCGCTCATTTTTGGGGTAACGAAGTTTAGGGATTACCTTCTCTGCAGGAGCTTCACCCTAAAGACAGACGACAGACCACCAACCTTTGGTGGGATTGTTCAAAGAAAGCAAATCGATTCCAAGCATGGCTGCGGCACGCATCTAGAGGTGGGCACTAACGCTTGGAGCGTGTAAGTATGTGATCAAGTACAAGCCTGGGTCACAAAACCTGAACGCAGACACTCGGTCGTCTGCCGATGGCAACTGCCCCAGATGGAGCAGAAACCGAAGAAGCCCAAGATATGGGGGTCTTCACAGCGGACATGTTGGACGCCAGCCCAGTGTCCAGACGACAGCTAGAAGACCTGACGGGGAAGGACCCAATTATGCAGAGCCTACAAGACACGATCAGCAGAGGTTGACCAAAAAGACTTTTGGACAGTTGCCTTCAGCCATACTGGCATCATCGTAATGCACTCACGCTGGAAGGGGCCCTCATCTGCATGGGTGGAAGAGTGGTGATTCCAGAATGTGCACGGAGGGCATTTCTATTGGAGCTTCATGATACTCACAAGGGAGTCAATGCAACTAAGGCACTGGCACGCACGCTGGTGTGGTGGCCAGGCATTGACCGTGAGGTGGAAGAGTTGCTTCACCGGTGCACAGTGTGCCAACGGGCGGCTCCCATGCCACCGAGTAGGGAGCCACTGGCATGGCCAGCAACTAAACAGCCGAGGTCAGGCTGTTTGCCCAGTTGAAAATTTCCATTAGATTCCAATTGGAATTTCCAATTGGTACCAGCTAGGTTTTGGGACAACCAATTGGTCACTGCAATGGGAACCAATTAGAACCCATTAAAATTCCAACTGGAAATTTTTTTCCAATTGGTGAGACCCATTGGCCAGAGTGCTTCCAATTGGAACCCACTAAAACCAATTGGTTCCAATTAAAACCAGTTAGAATTCCAACTGGATCTTATTGGAATTTTCAGCTGGGTGTGCAAGGAACTTTGGTAATGGACCTCGCTGGCTGAGTGGAACCATCACGTAAGAACTTGGAAACCGCATGGCGCTGGTGCAAACACCTGGTGGGATGATCCGCAGACATCATGACCAGCTACGCCTGAGGCTTGAGGTCAACACACCTGACCCTCTGCATCAACCCAGTGAGCGCAATGAGGATTTAACGTTAGAATGGGGCCAATCCTCAGTGGCTCCAGAGACTTCAAGGGCCACCGTGGAGCCAAGCAAGGAGCAGCGTCCAGTGCAACAACACCGACCACCCGAGCGGCTGGACTTGTAGTTCCACCATTCCACCAAGTGTGGGGGAAGTGTTGCGGCCGGAAGCGGCAACACTGGCCAGAGCCGCCAGCCTTCTTCCGGCAAAGCAACAACTGTTGTCGAGCGCGACGCCATCACGCCGACTAGGGTCGGACGTCTGTAACCTGTACCCTAACAATGTATTCACGTTTCTCGTCTCTTATAAAAAACCCGAGTTACAAAGCGCTGTATTTCCTGACGCGCTAACAGTAGTAGTAATCTTATTATCAGTAATAGTAGTAGTATTATTGCTCCCAGCAAGGACAGATGCTGTTATTATTATTATTATTATTATTATTATTATTATTATTATTATTATTATTATTATTGCGCACAGCAAAGGACGCATGCTGAATCTGCTCCCGCTGCTTCTATGGAATACTGCTGTTTCTACACTGTTCAGGGTGCCAGCTATGTGCCCACACCAAGTATACCTGCTGGACGGAAAATAAGACCACCTTTCTGCAATCTGGGGTAAGCTCCTTAATCTGCAAGAGTTGCAAAACATCAGCGGGGCTGCTAGTCCTAACAGCAGAAGCCAGGCCGGATTTGACGGAAGCGTCGTTCAGCCACCACTCCGCACCGCCCTCCCCCACTGCTTCCACTCGTTCGGAGAAACCTTCCTCTTCCCCAGGCGGTCCCCATGCAGACATGAAATCCTTACAAGCCCTCCTCCTCAACTCCCTCGAGGGGATCTCGTTCCTCACACACGAGGTCGCTGCTCTTTCATGACGAGAACGCGCAGCTCTGCCAAGGGTATAGGTATACCTCCCAGCTGCACGCAAGTGCCATACTGTCTTTGCGGACTGAGCTCGGAGCTGTGCGTAACACTCGGAACCAATGGAACCGGCCGGCAGGAAACAGCTGCCTTTTTCCTAAACTGCGGCGATGAGCCCCCACCATCCCCTTCCTTTGGTGACCCTGTCCAACCTTCAGGGCATCCATGCCATCAAGCTCCATCAAACTTCAATGGGGCTGGGTTCCGCAAGGAGGGGCCAAAGGTCCCCAGGGCAAGACGGCCGTTGTTGAGGGCAAGTGTGTCAGCCAGCTGTACACCTGTGGCACTGCCACCCTCTCCACCACGTCGCCAACACGCTGTGCACATGACGCATTTCGGCCCATCTTGCGATCCCCCGAGCCTTTAAACCCACATTAGGAAGCAGGGCCCTCTTCGCGAGCTTGCGTGCACCCGACTGAAGACACGGCATGAAAGCTACTCGTCCTTACGAGTGATGGCTGCAAATGAAGAAATAGAGAAACTTTTTGATCCCCTTCTCTGGCCAGAGGGAAGCCTTTTCAACGAGTTGACAGGTCAGCTGAATGAGAGCCACACATAGCAAGGGGTATTCGAAGCGCCTCTCTCCCATAATGCCGGAACAGATACGTAACCTAGACATTTACTATCAGAATGTCCAAGGTCTTCCCACAAAAGCTAACTTTTTTTCTAATGTAACCCTAACTGATGTGTCTATTATTGCGCTAAACGAGACCTGGCCTTGTTCTAACATTTATTTATCCAATGTCTTCCCACCTAATTTTGCAGTACTTAGACGTGATCGTGTATTCTCTACTAGGAAAAAGACGTTGGGTAGAGTGCTGAGAGAAATTGATGCGTCCTTACAACGTGTTAGGCGTCCGGATCTTGAGACATTGTTTGAGTCAGTGTGGATAGAGCTGCCATGTGCGAATGGCGAGCATATCCTCCTGGGCGCTTATTACTTGCCCTCTGACACGTCTCCAGATGGTTTTCGCCAATGTCTACTGGGCATTGAGTGTACAACCAAGGCCCTGAATAAATTCAAATTTATAGTTCTTGGAGATTTTAATGTCTGTAACATATGCTGGAAAGCAGCCTCAGTGTCCTCTAGAAGTTACTATATTATTCAGAAATCTAATTTCTTGCTGAATTTTTCATCATTTACAAATTTAAAACAATACAACTGTATCTCAAACACCCAGGGCAACATGCTTGATCTATGTTTCGCAAATCTAGACTGTACAGATATAACAGAGGGTATGTCAAGCTTGCTTTCCTTCCTCCTCTCCTCTCTCTCCCCCCCTCCCTCCCTCCCTCCCTCCCTCCCTCCCTTCCCTCCCCTCCCTCCCCTCCCTCCTCCTCCTCCTCCTCCTCCTCCTCCTCCTCCCTCCCTCCCTCCCTCCCTCCCTCCCCTCCCCTCCCCTCCCCTCCCCTCCCCTCCCCTCCCCTCCCCCCCCCCCCCCCGGACGGACATCATGCCCCACTGGAGATCAGTATACCTATCTGACATGGCATGAGATGTTATTCACGGAGACATCCTGAAGTGAATAGACACAATCTTTCCGCTGGAGATTACGTTAGTTTGTACAATCATTTCTCCAATTACGACTGGTCCTCAATCACTCCGTGCTCCCGACGTTGCCCAAAAGGTTCACGATTTCGCTCGCATCGTTCAAGAACGAATGAATCAATTCATCCCGTTACAGGGGGGGAACACCGACGGCCGCCGTAGAGGCAAAGTGTGTTTCTG